CTCCGAGGGGGCCCTGCTAATGGTGCTTGGCGATCGCCGTAGAACGGTTGGAGCCAAAAACCGCAAGTGAGCTATGATGAGGTGTTTCAACAACCCTTTCCTGGGCTGCGCCATGAAGGGGGAGTGCAGACGCCTTGACGGACGAGTAAAAGTCTTTCAGCACGGTTTCAATCTGGGTCTCCCAGGCTCGGATTCCACCACCACCACCACCAAGTGGAGCCTTGACTAAAGCAAGCCCACCATCCATATCATAACCCATCTTCTCGCCCAGATCACCTGCTCCCTTAGGACTCAAATTTCCAACCCCGCTTGCTTTACTAGAGTTCTTTGCACCCTTGACAAAGTCTAAAGAGGTGCGAGATTCGCTCATTTTCCTCTCTCGGACGGCCAAAGGGAATGTCGCGGAAGGCGTTGCGCTCATTCCGGGGTTGTCATCGTCATCATTTGGGCGAAATGGTGTCTGCGACCTTGGAGGGAATGTATTGTGATGAACGGGTTTCGATTCCACTGGAGCCTCAGTAACAATCCTCCGGATACTGCTCATGGTGTTTTTGATGAATTGGCCCTTGGTCATCTTCTGGGACTGGGGGATATCGGCCATATGTAGATCTGTGTTGAGTAAAAGCAATGAATAAAGAATCGTGAAAACAACATCTGGGACAAAATTAGCACTCATATCCAGTTCGAGATCATATGCATACCTATCAGCTTGAACCCATGACGAGGATTGCATTCACACCACCGCTTCGCGATTGCATCCATTATCCTGTCAACTTGTTGTGTCTCGCCTTTAAAAACAAGGCGCCCACAGAAAATTCGCAAAGTCGACAATATATTAACCCCTGACCAATCGAACAGCTCCATATAAGCTTTACGGACCCTCGCCCCAGTCGCTCCACTAAAGTAGTAGACTAAGTTAGCAGTAATCTTCTAGAAAGCACAAATCAAGAATACTTACGCTTCACCCAGCCAGCTCGTGGCCCTTGCCTTAGTAATTACTTCCTCATCACCTTTGAACACCCTCCTAGCCGTCTCACGTTCCTCCTCTGACGGTTCTTCCCCGTCTGGGTCATCTCCTCGCAAAGGTTCGGCCTTTTCACCCGGACCGTCTCTCTGCAGCATGACTGTCGGCGTCCCTATGGCAGCGGGTGTGAGGGTACTGAGCCATGATGTTTCAGCTTCCCTGCTCCCCCCATTTTCCAGGTTTTCTGTATCGACTTCAAGCGCCTTCCCTGCACGCGCTTCTTTCTGTTGCTTTTCAAGCTTTGCATGATGGGCCTCGATTTCTTGCATTGTAGCTATGGGCTGTTCTTTGGCCACCATGGACCCTTGTCTAGGCTTATCGAAGCTCGATGCAATTGATGCCTGCCGCTCTCTCTCGAGTGCGACGTTACCAACACTCCGCCTAGTTGACAAAATCGACTTTGTTGCCAATGGCGGCCACCGCACTTCCTTTTCTTCGTCATCTTGCAAAAAGCTCTGTTTATTCGGGGAATAAGGACTGGTTTGAGGCCTATCCCAGTCATCCCTCGTGCTGGGGCTGTGATCAACATTCCCGTTCCCCCTTGCATATCTTGTCTCCTTCCTGTACACATTTCCTGGGCTGTTATAATCGTCGTTGAAATGACTGCCGCTATCCCTGTGTCGCATACTTTCCCCAAAGAAGGTCGGGCGCTTAGGTGATATAGGGTCTGACGAAGCAACTGTGCGGATGGTCGCACCCCTCTGAAGATATGCCGATTCATTATTCTCATTCACCAGGTCGAAGCCCGGGGACTTTACGGGTGACCGAAGATAGGGGTTCATTGCGGTGCTCAGAGAGGTCGCCGGGCTCGGGTGAGAGTTTTCAACCGAGAGCGGCTCCATAGAGTGCAATGGCAGAGGTGCTACAGGATGCGATATTGCGTCCGAGACTGATTTCTTCCGGCGCCTAAAGAACGATGATTTTTTGTTGATGGTTGACTGCGGGGAATCCGAAGACTGTGAATTGGCATTCGTATTCGCTGTTTCCCGCCCGATCAGGTTGGCAACGTTTGATTTGCTGCTTGAACTGCCATTATTTCCACTTCCTCCTCCAACACCAAACACACGCCTAAAAAATCCAGGACGGCCACTGCTCTTGTTGTTGGAGGGACTCATGGGCGCAGTAACCGCGGTCGGGGTCACGAAGGCTGGTAAGGGGGGAAGAGTAATGGGGTTGTCGGATTGTGTATTAAACTGAAGCTGCTGGTCTCTCCTTAAACTCCTCGCAGACTTGTTCGATGGACGTCGCACAAGACGAGGAGATCTTGGTGGGGAAGGTGTTCGGTTCCTGGGCCCACTCCTTATGGAAGGGGGAGGCGCCGCATCATAAGTATCGTAAGCTGCAGCACCTGTATATCCATGTGATGAGCCCAGTCCGCAGCCTCGAGAGCGTAACTCTCTCCCGAAGTCGTACCCGGCGCCGAAGCCATCAGCTCCATTGTCAAAAGAGCCGACTCGCCTATTGGTGTACCCAGGATTACTTGTGCTTGAAAAGTTGCCTATATGCGAATGATGATTGCTGGTGCTATTTGAGCGTCTGCCACGCGACACAGGATCCGTTTGTGAGTAATTCGACGAGTTGTCTTCATCACTTGGCTCATCAACAGTTGAGAAGTAAGGGGAAGTATCGAAGGGCCCTAAAGACCCGTCACCGAGCCTGTCGAATGACAAAAGAAGGTTGTCAACCAGTGACTCTCTACCGGCGCCCATTGAGAGTTGTAAATCGTGCGAGTCTCTGTTATTGCTTGCGTCGTTTGAAGGCGAAGATGTGGCCGTGCCGGAAACGGATCCTCTGCCAGGTTTCCTAACTCCGTAAATTGCCATAGACGAGGAGGAATCCGCCGAGAAGGAAGGTGTACTGGCGAACTGCGAGGAATTGGGAAGTCTGCCAGCAGGTCTGAACCTCTGGCTGTTCTCCGCGTGTAGCCTGGAAGCAGCGAGACTTGGCTCGACAGGAATCATAATTGTGGAGGGCTCGATTTCTTGCCCAGTGTACGGATTGGGCCTTGTTAACGATGCAGTAACCTTAGTTGGGCTATTTGTTTCTGCGCCGGCCTAGTCTTGAAACCTGCCCGGGGGTGCAGACCGAAAGCGAATCCAACCACGGAGGAAGGAGATATATATTTATTTTTTCTTTGGTGAAGATTTGGTTGAGCGAGAGATAAGTGAATTAACGAATCCGCTGGGGGGAATCTGTAATAGGGATGGGCAAGCAGCGAATCAGAATCCTCTATGCTGTGCAATTGCTTTTTGGACCTGTCTCTGCTATCTCTCTTTTCCTTGATCTCTCTCTCCCATCCACAGAATCATTGGAACGCAATTGGCTGTCTGTTACAGTACTCGTAGCTGTTAGGTGATCGTTTTCTTTGCTTTTTGTGCCTGTCTGCGGGATACCGTACCGGTATGTCTCTTTTTTTCACAAATTTCGCCCAGCTGGGTTTGAGGCAAAGTCGAGTCCCTTTGAGGGGTTCAGTCTTACAGTCTCGGACTGCAAACAAGACTCAGGAGAAACCCTTCGGAGAAAAAGAAAAAAAGAAGGGGAAAAAAAAACAGACCAAACGAAGACTGTACTAGTACAAGTACTCGTACGTGTACTCGTACTCGTCGTACTGGTATCGTAGAAGCAATAGGTGAGAGAAGGAGTACGGTAGGGTAGTTTGAGATATCAGATACCGGTATACCTCCTTTCTTCTTTTCCTGATTGCCACTTCCCCCAGCTCGTCTCATAAGCTTCTTGTTCCCCCACACTCGAACTCAGTCGGCTTTTTCGGTTGTTTTAATGGATCCGGGGTCTCCTAGCCTCCACGACAGGGGAGAATAGAAAAGAATTCCCCAGTTCGCCGCACAAGGAAAGACAGCCGAAGGGAATACCGGTACCGGTAAGCTGAGGCGCCGACCACCCAAGGCACTTTGCTAGCACAGATTGATTAGGTTTCTCGTCACCCAGACGGGTCTGGCACCAAGGTCGACTCAATGAAAACGATTAGGAGGTTATTCGTTGAACTGTGAGGTGCAGCACCTTAGGGAATGCTGCTTGATAGCAACACAGCAACGATTTGTGTGAATCCTGATATGAAGGAACGACAGCGACAATCTAAATACACGGTGAACCTCGAATAGAAGCTTGTCGGTATAATAATAACCCAGGCTATTCCACGCACAGATTCTTGGACATCAATTGCCCCTGACACCAGATTCCTGAGTGACAGTGTCAGATTTTGAAAGAAAAGAAGAAAAAACCCCCCCATGGTTCACGATGGGTGCTTTGACTCGCCCTGACCTCTTTGCTCCACGAGCGGGTGGTAGATACAGTAGTGCTGTACCGTAGGCGGTTTGTTTTGGGTGTGCCGTCAAACTTGTTACGATTAGACTAGCTCTGCTCCCAACCTATGAAAAACTGGAAATCTTCACTGGCAGTAGGGTATGATATGACTAGTCTACAGTGTGATGCAGCGCCGTCATTGAACAGTGCTGTACGAGTACGATGCTCGAGTAGTCTGAAGTAGTAGTGGGGACCAGAGGAAGGCCATGCATACTGTCGGTATCATGCGATTGCAAACAGTGCTGGTACAGACTTGCCAAAGTGAGCCAGGCCCCCACAAACGTTTTTTCTTCCTCTACGGTACAAGTACTCGTATTACAATATTTCTCAATCAAGGTTGAAATCCCCCCGTCCAAAACTAGGGGTACAGCGAACCCCATGAGAGGAAACGCCCCTTCCCTATTTTGTCTTCACAGATGCCAACATCAAAATTTATGTGCGGAGAGCTTGTGTGTGAAAAAAGCCCCCCCCATTTGACAAGGGTTCACATGAATTCAAAGCTTGCCCAGAAATGTGCCTGTACTGTACCTGATTGCCACACTCGAGCACGACACCACAGAAGAGAAAAGATCGGAGCGGAAGGAGGGGTTTCCTCGACGTCGCAAAAACCACGTGGGACCTGCCATTTGACTGAGCTTGTTCGTTTCCCCCCTTTGCTTCTTTCAATGACCCATGTCAGGAGGCGAATACGGTAAGCCAAAGAAATAAACAACCTCTCGGTACCGTATTTCACCGGCTGGAGGGACCTAACCGGCCGCTGGCATGGTACTGTACCAGTATCATAATGCGAGCAGATCTATCTACCGTAGCTGACCTCCCAACTGCTTATCCAATTAGACTATACAAGTATACCCAATCATCAACTCCCACTCCAACTATCACTTACCGTATCATACATCCGCGGTCCGTAATCTAAAGTCATTTGTTTACTCCAATACATGCATTGGAAACTACTGAGAACCCTCCAAAACAAAGCGGTGTCTCACCGAGAGAGAACCGACCTGCTCAAGGCGAGAGCTTCCACCCGCAAGAGCTCTCTGCTGATATTAGTAGTTTGTATGTGACACACAACATACACAGCACAGTATCGGTACTCGAGTACTCGAGTAGACTGCGATCGCACCTGATCAACCAACCAAAGCAGGTTACACATTCTCTGATCCATCAATGCTCGACTTCGCCGGTGCAATGCCATTCATATCCACGCACGTTGATCCCTATTTTTTTTTTCACTAGTGAAACCGGGCACGGGTGTTGTATGATACCGTGCTGGTGCTGGCCCTCGAGTACCAGTACCGGTAGGGGGAAACCTCCACAGCTCTTCTCAAAGTTTCAACACGTCCCGTCCTTTCTTTGTTGCAAGGGGGAGATGATGTTACCTGTATGATCGGAAGTATCACTCGTACCGGCACTCGAGCAGTACGAGTAGAGACTCTACTAGAGAATGCGTGCATGAGACTCGGATCAGCTGGTGGGCGAGAGGGGACCTGTGCTACTGGTATCGTACCGGTAGTTAAACCTCTTAAGATTAGGCTTGCGGGGGAAAGCGATTCTGGGTATCATACCTACGTCACGTGCTGTCTTTTCGAATGGAGCCGGAATAATTTTATCCACTGTACTCGCACAGTACGGTATCATACTCGAGTGTGTCCACGGAGAATCGGGAAAACCCTTGTCTCCATGGTGACATGCAGACATCTGTCGGCCCCTTTTCTGGCACAGTTTGGATCATAGTTTCCCCATGGTCTACCGGCACTCCGTAGGAATGTCTGATTTCTACACACCCACACACACACATATATATACATAATTGAATGAGAAATTTATCGTACAATTTATAATGCCTGAGAAACGGCACGGTAAATGTGGATAGAGAGAGATAAGGGTTTGATTATGCTCTGCAGGTATGCCTACCGGTATCGTATGGTTTTCGGTTCTCCTTGCGCCGGTGCCTGTGGTTTCGGCTGCCCGTTGCGGCTCCGTAAATTTACCACCTTACTCGCGCTAACTATCCAGAGGTTCAACGACGGGCTCAGCACTCTTCCACCCACGCATCCACTTTCCAGATAGCGACTTCACAACGACACATCAAGACATCACTGCACAACGTCATCACGATTCTCAACACTCGGTATCCTATCACTATCACACCCTAACAACCTAAAGACCGGGACGAGAATGTACGCACCCCGTACTTCACCTCCGCCCACGCGATCAACCTTCGCTCCACATATCGCTGCCCCACGACATGGTGGTCGCTCGGATTCTAGCTCGGGTTCGCGACTACCGTTGTTCTTTCGAAGAATGATCAAATTCCCTCAGATGGACTTTGAGGTTTGCTACTTCTATGTTTCTGGTGTTCTCGGAGGCGGTGGTGGCTAACGGACACGGTGGTCCTGACTGAAGATGGCGATCTGGGAAATGACATATCTGATAATGGCTCCTAAGAAAGTCATCCGAACAATATACTATCATGTAGGAAATCCCGGTTCGATGTGCTATAGAGAACGTTATTGACCGACGGGTTTCTTAGAAACGTACATCTCACCTCCCTGATTGATGTCAATCCTACGATCAATCTAACGTGTTTGCCCTCTTTAGAAACGAAAAATACCTGGTCTCGCGATGACCCGTCTTTCATCGTTCTCCTCACATTTTTCCTAACACTCACTTCCCTTGCCTGGGGGCTCGCATATACTCCAGCATTCGCTTCGATCATGAGATTGATATTTTCGCTAGTATTTCTGCACTTTTTGCTCACTTCCGTGATATTCGCATCGACAGGCTACATAATGTGCGGGAGGTTTCTGAAAGTGCCGGGAACGGGTGGCCTTGGAAGGGCTGGTGTTGTGGCCGGTGAAGGAGAGATGGAATTCATGTACTGTCTCGAGATAGGCGTCAGAGCCTTCTTTCCGGTTTGGGTTTTCTTGTAAGCCCTCTAACCGTGATGGTGGCTCTCAATTACTCGGGCATAGGACGGCTTTGCTAATAGCTCTTTGGAAATAGGTACGTTATACAATTCTTGATGATGCCGATATTGACAAAGGATTACTGGTAAGTCTTATCTGTTCTACACCTTGGCTGGTAGCCTCCTAATACAGTGAATAGGATATCGATATTCCTGGGGAACTCCTTATATCTGATTGCATTCTCATTCTATTGTGTTATAACCTTCCTGGGATACAATGGTAAACCGCTGTCAAATTCTTCCTCAAATAAGGGGTTGGTGACTGACTTGTTTGTTATCGTATCAATAGCACTTCCCTTTCTGCATCATACGGAAATAATGCTATTCCCAATATTCGTCCTAGTGGTTCTATGGGCGATCAGTTTGTTTGGCTTTAACTTGACCAAACATATTGTGCCAATTCTCTTACCTGTGACGGGGAGAATATGATATCGCTCCTGGGTCTCCAGGGGAAGCTACTTTCCTTGTGGTTCGAACTTGGCGAAAAGGAAAAAGAAAAAAGTAATAGATTTAGGATTATCGGGTGTTCTAGTGCTAAGCGGTTTCCTTTTTTGTCTCTCTCGTTCATCATTAGCAGTTCGAAAAGTAATTTTTTTCTATTTGTATATTATTATCTTCGCAATGGATCGGAGGGGTTGCATATCGGTATCATGAGCTAGGGTTATTTATCGTCCGTTGTATCTGCTGGTGCATACCCGCGGCATCACGAGATGTGCGCAGTGCGGTGCGGGGCATGTTAGAGAGATGGAATGCATGACGACGATGAATCGCCATGGTTGCAAAGACAATGGATGTGGGTGGTTCGGAAATGAATGGGCGAATAGGCACCGTAGCGTAGAACCCACTCTTCCCTCTTCTCGGGTCTGGCATTTCTACTGGGCGACTTTGGGTGCAATGGCTGCAGTGATTGTGATGCGTTTCAATGTCAAGGCAGAAATAATACAACGCTTTTAAGATATTATATTTGAGATGAGATAAAATAATATTAAGTACACCAGACAAGAGGTTTCTTGATACTCGTGTAGAAGGCCTACCGGTAAGAGAAGCTACCCCTCAACAGTTTAAGGCAGGCACAGCAGTATTCTAGACTACCATAGAATGACGGTCAAAGGGAACGCTGAGAGCGCGCCAAGAATTAAGGGATGATTTAATAATTAAGAGGATGGGAAGGACAGGAAGGAGTGGGAGAAGACGACAACTGCCAGAGCACGGCCCTTACCAAGTAAAAGAAAGGGTTGTGCAACGACAACACAAAATCTCCCCTCCCCCCGACTGATCCCGAGCCCTACTCCATTATCACACCCACCTGACATATCATACTTCGCGCTCTCAAACACTCTTTCCATTATCCGTCCCTCCCCTAAACACCTACTCATCCCCCATTCCGCTGATCGCCTTTATCGCAAACACAAACCTTCATAATGTCGACCGCCGGGGGAACTTACAGAGGTAATCCAAGAACTGCTCCGCCGGGCAGAGGGGCGACACCTAACTTCCCTCCAACACCATCTGGCCCAGGGATCCCTGTGCCTGCTCCCAGTCCCGGTGGCCCCGCACACTCCGAAGCCGGTTCCAGCGTCAGTGATAGCAGGAAGAGACAGAGCAAGAGGGACGAGGTATTTAGGCGGACTAGCCCCCCCCCCTCATCGTTATCTCATCAAAATCGCTATTTTCATCTCAAATGCTGCCCCGCTATCCTCATTTGATTATCTATATGATATACTAAAAGCTTGATATTTAAACGCGTGTAGGCTATCCGTCGCAAAATTGAAAATGATCTCAACAAAAAGAAGCACACGGTTTCGCGTGCTCGTCACACCCGTAAGGTTGCCCCGGGAACCGTTATGGCCCTTCGCCCATCCCAGGCTCTCCAGATAAAGCCCAACACAACTGTTGCTGAGGCGGCTCAAATTATGGCTGCAAAGCGTGAGGATTGTGTTCTTGTTACCGATGATGAAGATCGTATCTCTGGTATCTTTACCGCGAAGGATCTTGCCTTCCGTGTTGTTGGCGCCGGGGTTAATGCGAGGGATGTGACCATTGCCCAAATCATGACCAAGAATCCTCTCTGTGCTCGTACCGATACTTCTGCTACTGACGCCTTGGATTTGATGGTTCGCAAAGGGTTTCGTCATTTGCCCGTCATGGATGAGAACCAAGATATTTCTGGAATTCTAGATATCACAAAGTGTTTCTATGAGGCTATGGAAAAATTGGAGAGAGCGTATGCGTCGTCTAGAAAGCTTTACGATGCCCTGGAAGGCGTGCAATCAGAACTGGGCTCTTCTCAACCACAGCAAATTATTCATTATGTGGAAGCATTGCGACAGAAGATGTCTGGTCCAGATTTGCAGTCGGTATTGGATGGAAACCCACCTACCGTCGTTAGCGTAAGAACTACTGTGAAGGATGCAGCAGCTATGATGAAGGAAAATCACACAACTGCTGTGTTGGTTCAGGACAGCGGCAGTATCACTGGTATCTTTACGAGTAAAGATGTGGTCTTGAGAGTGATCGCCGCTGGATTAGATCCTGCGAATTGCAGTGTGGTTAGAGTTATGACTCCTCATCCCGATTTCGCCCCGATGGATATGAGTATCCAGGCTGCCTTGAGAAAAATGCATGGTGAGTGGAAATTATTTTTAGCCTTTGTTGAGGTTTGAGGAAACTGATATCTATTTGGATAGATGGTCACTATCTGAATCTTCCGGTTATGAACGAAGCAGCGGAGATTGTCGGCATGGTCGATGTGTTGAAATTGACCTATGCCACTCTAGAGCAGGTGCTAGGATGTGATTCACGTAATTTGTGATCTTCCACTAATATGGGTGTATAGATCAATTCCATGGGCACAACTGATAGCGAAGGTCCTGCGTGGAACAAATTCTGGATGTCGCTTGACAATGATACTGAATCTGCTGTTTCGGACGGTACTAGACATACCGGCCCGCCCATCCGTCCTCATCAACCCGACTCGCCTATCAGAGGTTCTAGACATGCATCCGGAACGTCCACGGACCGCCATGATAGTAGTGCTATTCTCCCTACCGACTCTGCATCTCACCACGGCGGTTCCCCCCCAACTTCTGTAGTCATGTACCAACAACATTCCAATCCCCTTGATGCTCCGTTCCCCTTCAAATTTAAGGCTCCTAGCGGGCGTATGCATCGTTGCCAGGTTGCTGCAAGCGGCGGTCTGATAGAACTTCTCGCAGCTGTTGTCCAGAAACTTGGAAGCGAAGTTCAAAATGTTGGCGGAGAACCTGAATTTGGCGCGGATGGAAAACTTGAGAAACAGGGGTTTGCCATGAGCTACGTGGATAGCGAGGGCGACATAGTTTCCATTACTTCCGATAGGGATTTGATTGATGCGATTGAGATGGCCAGGAATGGGGGGAGGGATAAGGTTGACTTATACGTTCATGATCCAGATTCCCCAGCCGTCATTGCTACCGCCGAACCAAAACCAGTTATCGACACTCCTACTGAACCAATCCTTCATAGCAGACGAAGACGCAGACATGAAGAGGAGGATACTGAGGAATCAAGTGAGGAAGAAGAAGAGATAGTGGCACATAGAAAAGCAAAGAAAAATGCAGTATCCCAGATTCCAGCCTTGGCCCCCGTTCAACCGGAGGTTATACCTGGTGTTCCGAACGAGCTGCTCTTGCCCGGGGCTCTCGTCACCTTGGCTGTGGTAATTGTTGGCGTTTTTGCCGTGTCTAGAAAATAGGGGGCATGAGAGAATCTCCGCTAAGACAGTCGGATGGGTTTAGTTAGTTGTTCCACTATAAACAAGGCTGTTACTGAGGTGCTTTTTTACACTTTTTTTCTTTTCTTTAAAGCAGATGGGTGGGATAGGCCTCGTTTTGCGGGAAACCACAAGCATCGAGATTGTCTGACATTTTAAGGTTGCGTAGATATGTATTGTTCTTGCTCATTCCCACTGGGTTGTTATATTTTCATCTGGATATGCCCAATTGAGATCGACAAGGGCCGATACCCATCAATGGTTTTTCGGAGGTAGCGCTTATAGTGGTTTACATGGCCCAAAGCCTCTCCAATTTTTATTTTTTTCTCATTTCTGTCTCGTCGCTGGATGTTGTGTCAGCAATACACCTGTAATTCATTCTCCTTTGTTTGTTTTTCTTTACCTTCATAGCCTGCGTTTTGCCTTCTCTTGTTGCCCCTCCTTTTTTTAAAGTTTTTTCTTTCTTTTCTTTTCACTATCAACATCAATGATTGTGACATCCCCACCTAGCATTTCACATCCTCTCGTTTCTTTCTTTCTTTCTTCTCTCTCAGATTTCAGCCCTGTAACGAGCAATACGAATTCTGTCCGTTAGAATTTATTAAATTTATGTAGATTTCAGCACCGCTAATTTAGCTTATCAGATTCGCCGATTGTGTGTGATATATGGTTTCGCTCGTGATAAACCAACAAAATGTATGATAATATTATTATGATACCTTAAAAATAAAAATAAAAATGTAGGTTTGGGAAAAGGTTAATTTGAACCTTAGAACTGGACGAACCCGAATTGTAAAGGGACTATATTGAGGCCCATAGGTGTATAAATTAGAAAAAATGCCAAATTTGATCTCAAGTATGATAAACATAATTTGATATAATGACCTTTTGTCTCAAGGATCTGGGGGTACCATATAAAACATTTACAAAGCATCATCTTTCAAGTTTAACTACAGGGCTTAGTACTAAACTATATAAAATATCAGAGGATAAAAGCAACAGGCCGAGCAACTATAAGAGTAATGCTTATATATTTCTACCTATACGAAACTATCAAGAATATATGAGAAAAAAGTGGACTAGTTATATGAGACTATTGAAGTACTTGCGGGAGTGCTTCCACTAGCTCTAGAATAAGTTAGCCTGTAGCTGATAGGAACGTATTTCTGAAAAATTTAATGTCTTGCTGGTCTACTTTTTTGAATGATTGTTTTATACTCAGTAGACTGAGGGAGGGTTTATCATGAGCGGAACCATATACATGAGCTCGTCAGTGATGGAGCAGTACTTGTAAGAGCAACGCCAAGAGACATGCAAATTGCCCATCCTGGCAGTGTTTTTGGACATGTTGTCCGAACTCTGGTGCTTGGGGTTTTTAGAATGGTTTCTATGACATAGCCTTCATGTGAATCCCCATGCAGGCTGTGCTTCCTAAAAAATCACTAGATTTTTCTGAGGTTAGACCTATGGCAGTGAGTAGCCGACTGTCGAGAATGAGCATTTTATATGGAAGGGCCCGGTGGGTGTCGGTTTCATTTGTCGCCAAGATTTTACTGTAAACGAGCAAAACTGGAGCACAACAACATACCGGTAGTTTTGAAGGTATCGCAGCGAGTTCTTTGAGTAACCTTTTTTAAGCTGCCCCGCCTTATTTACACCCTCGTTACTCATCGAGAATTCCTCAATAATTTCCACACCTAACCTTACGGAACGGAGGTGAAGGGCAGGAGAGGGTTGTGTTAGTCTCGCCCTCTTTCTTTTCTTTCTTTACTTCCCTCTCGTCTCCCCGCTAGTCCCACTACCACAGCAGAGAAACTCTCGCTGAAACACATATTTCACAACTCTTGTCTTCGCCAACATTCTCCTCCGTCGCTCCCTCACTACCGCAACAACAACCACTCTTCCAGTGTCTCTTCGCGCATCTGGTTTCGTTTAAGGATATAGACCGTTTGGTTCTCTGCTCCTCTTTTTTTTCACCTTTTTCCTTTAAAAACTCTTTCCTTTCTCCAGTACGTCGTTCCGCCTCTACGTGTGCCATGTCCCAACTGCCCCACGGTGTCGTGGAGAGCCTCCAGCAACTCCTCTTGGGCTTGGAGTCCAGCGATAATAGCATTCGAAGCGAGGCCGAGAAGAGCTTGAATAATGATTGGATTCTGGCAAGGCCCGATTTGCTACTTTCTGGTCTCGCGGAACAGGTGCGGGGGGCGGATAATCCTGCTGTAAGTTCATCATCTCCCTCATGATCGCCTCTCTTCCCCACTTGACCCCTGAAGTTGGATTCTGGGTTTTTTTCTTCTTCTTGAATCACACCAAAACATAAACATTACAACATGTGGCCATGTCGATGGCAACGCATGATTCCGCTTTCATTTTCAACTTATTTAGTTACAGTTTTTTTTTTTTTGCCTGGTGGTTGGGCTGATTTTTCCCCCCCATTTGGTTGGGAGTGGTACATAGAAACGTTCCTTTGCTGCCGTCTTGTTCCGGCGGATGGCCAGCAAATCATCAACAAAGGATAATCAGCCTAGTGAATTGTTCCTATCATTGGCCCCCGAAATTAAAATCTACATTAGGAATGTTTTGCTTGGTTGCTTTTCGGAGGAAACGGACAAGGCCGCCAGAAACAAGACTGGCGACGCCGTAGCTGAGGTGGCTAGACAGCTGAGTGATGCGGGTATGTTTTCTCTTCTGCCCAGTGCTATCGGGTCCTCGGCCTATAAGTTGTTCGGAATCAATTTTCACCTGTCTCAACTTCTCCCCTCAAAAGTTATCTATTCTGACAAATTTTTTTTTTTTACCCTTGTGTAGAAGAATCATGGCCGGAACTTTTACATGCTCTTTTCCTGGCTAGCAAGCATCTAGATCCTAGCCATCGGGAATCAGCTTTCAGGATATTTGCTACTACACCCGGGATCATCGAGAAGCAGCACAGTGAGGCTGTCCAAGGGGTATTCGTCACTGGGTTCGGGGATGATGATTTGGGGGTCCGGATTGCTGCGATGGAGGCATTTTCAGCCTTCTTCAGATCGATTAAGAAGGCGGCGCAAAAGACGTTTTACCCGCTTCTTACCCATATCCTCAACATTTTGGTGCCCATAAAGGATTCACAAGATTCAGATAATCTCTCGAGAGCACTCATGGCCCTCATTGACCTTGCTGAGGTCGCCCCGCTAATGTTCAAGCCCTTGTTCAACAATGTTGTCAAGTTTGGAATTTCGGTAGTGCAGGATAAGGATCTGACGGATTCCGCAAGGCAGAACGCATTGGAATTGCTGGCTACATTTGCAGATAATGCGCCTAACATGTGCAAAAAAGACCCACTCTACACCTCTGAGATGGTTACGCAGTGTTTGAGCTTGATGACGGATATAGGAACTGATGATGATGACGCTTCGGAATGGAATGAATCTGATGATGTAGGCGTTTTACTTTGGATATCTGTTTATATGTCAAGGTAGCTGACTTTGTGATTCTTTCTCTAGCTTGATATGGACGAAAGCGACCTCAACCACGTCGCCGGCGAGCAATGCATGGACCGTCTTGCTAACAAATTGGGTGGATCTGTTCTTCTTGCGCCCACTTTCCAATGGCTTCCAAGAATGATGACTTCCTCTGCGTGGCGTGATCGACATGCTGCCCTGATGGCTATCTCGGCTATCTCGGAAGGCTGCAGGGATATGATGGAAGCCGAGTTAGACAAGATCTTGGATCTGGTTGTTCCCGCTTTGAGAGATCCTCACCCACGAGTGAGATGGGCTGGGTGTAATGCGTTAGGGCAGATGAGCACGGATTTTGCCGGTATTATGCAAGAGAGATATCATAGCATCGTTCTTACCAATATAATACCGGTCCTTGAGTCTCCTGAGCCAAGGTAGGACAAAGATTCGCCAGAGGCGCTTTCGAATACTAATTTACTTGCTGGCAGAGTCCAATCGCATGCGGCTGCCGCTCTGGTCAATTTCTGCGAAGAAGCCGAGAAGGAAGTCCTTGAGCCCTATCTCGATGACTTGCTTCGACGTTTGTTGGAACTGTTGCACAATGACCAGAAACGTTACGTCCAGGAGCAGGCACTCTCCACCATTGCTACCATCGCCGATTCTGCGGAAGTTGCGTTTTCTAGGTACTATGATACCTTGATGCCTTTGCTATTCAACGTCTTGAATCGCCCTCAGGACCCTGAGTCAAAGGATCTTCGTCTACTTAGCGCAAAAGCTATGGAATGCGCTACTTTGATTGCCCTTGCAGTGGGGCGTGAGAGACTTGGTAATGATGCGGTTCAACTTGTCCAGGTGCTTGGACGTATTCAACGTTCGTAATCCCCCCCCCCCTATACGCTCTCAATGCTAAACTTTTACAGAGAATGTTACCGACCCTGACGATCCACAGGGGTCATACCTCCTTCATTGCTGGGGCCGTATGTGCCGTGTAATGGGCAATGATTTCCTTTCATACCTTCCTGCTGTCATGCCTCCCCTCCTAGAGCTTGCAAGTGCTAAGGCAGACGTCCAACTTCTTGACGGTAATAGCTCCACTTTATTAATTTGCCGTCGGCTTGCTAACCCGTTTCGTGGCAGATGATGAACATGTGGCACAAATTGAGCAGGAGGAAGGATGGGAGCTTGTTCCTGTTCGCGGAAAATACATTGGAATCAAAACATCAGCTTTGGATGACAAATATATGGCAATTGAGCTTTTGGTGATCTACGCTCAACAACTAGAGGCTGCATTTGAGCCATACGTCCAGTCAGTTATGAGGGATATTGCTATCCCAGGGTTGAGCTTTTTCTTCAATGATGCGGTTCGGGTTGCTTCCGCTCGACTTGTCCCTCAACTCCTCAATTCTATCAAGAAGGCCCACGGTCCAGGTTCCGCTCAATTAGTGGAAGTTTGGCAGCTAACTCTTGCGAAAATACTCGATGTCCTAGCCACCGAGCCAGCAGTCGACACATTAGCCGAGCTTTACCAGTGTTTCTACGAGTCGGTTGAGGTGATTGGCCAGAACTGTTTGCCCGCGGAGGCTATGTCTACCTTCATCAATGCCGCAGATGGCGCTCTCCGGGAGTACCAACAAAGAGTGCAGGTTCGTCTCGAAGAGGCTCAAAAGCCCGAGGAGGAAAGAGAGGACAATGAGGACGCTTTGTATGCCATTGAGGATGACCAAACCCTGTTGTCTGATATGAACAAGTCTTTTCACACTATCTTCAAGCACCAGGGTATCTCATTCCTCCAACACTGGGAGCGATTGCTACCATTCTACGATGCCTTTATTACCAGCCCAGACCCTACGCAGCGACAATGGGCGCTCTGTATTATGGATGATGTTCTGGAGTTTTGCGGACCCGAGGCCTGGAAGTATCAAAACCACTTTGTTCAGCCACTCATAAACGGCCTGTCTGACCCGATTGCTGCCAACCGGCAAGCCGCAGCCTATGGTGTGGGCATTGCCGCCAAGAATGGGGGCCCGATGTTCTCCGAGTTTGTTGCAGCCACAATTCCAAAGCTTTTCGAAGTCACTCGACACCCCCAGGGCAGGCAGGAGGATCACGTTTTTGCGACCGAGAACGCCTGCGCTTCCATCGCCAAAGTTCTTCACTTCAATTCCAGCAAAGTGGGGGACGTACAGGCTGTTGTCCAGGCCTGGGTTGGGACTTTGCCCGTTGTTAACGATGATGAGGCTGCGCCGTATGCCTACTCGTTCCTAGTGCAGTTGATTGAAGGGTATGTGCTTAGTGAGAATTTGTTTGAATGCCCTGTTAACGCCATATCTAGAAAGAACGCCGCCGTTCTCGGTAACGTTCCTCAAATTTTTGACTACGTTGTTAGAGCTCTTGATGCGGAGACCATCCAAGGCCAGACTGCGGAAAGGGTTGTTACCGCTACCAAGAGCCTTTTGGCTATGGCCGGCGGCTCGGCGGCTCAGGTTTTGGCTTCCATGCCAGTGGAACGCCACAACGCGGCCAGGCGTTGGTTCTCATAGTGGATGTGGGATAGGGTATTGGTGAGGGGCGCTCTTGGGTCGTTGTCTTATTTTTCCTTGTCGTCGCTACGGCATCATTATTGTCTTAGAATTAGCAACTCTCTTGTTATGTAACTGGACAGATAAAGGGAAGGGGGGATATGGATGCCATACCTGTTGATTTTGCTTCTATCAACCTTGTGGGAGGGGCAAGTGAAGGGCGAGCGCCCGGATTCTTGGAGTCTCATTGTTGAAGAAAAAGAAAAGGGTTAGTTGGAGAAATGTAGTTCCTCTGTTTAGTGACTCAAGAGCATCATGTTTTTCTTGCCTCTCTTTCATCCCCTTGTCTTTCTGGGAATTTCAGACCACGGTGTTTAAAAGTGGCTTTTTTCCTTGTGGGGGCGTCATTCACCACTCTTAGTGACAATAGGAAGGAGCATACTGAGCGCTGTGCTGTACGGTAATTTGGAATAGGGGGTATTATTATGACATGGTACGATATTACATGAACTGGAATGATGAACACCGGGCGCTGCATGGTATACCTTTATTTCTTTTACATGCGCTTGGGCTCGATTAGTATACGGTAATTCTTGGACATGGTCCATCGTTCGGTCGGTCACTGCATTTTGTCTATAATCAGATGTGCGCAATCAGATCCATTCGACTGACCGATCTGATCATCAGATATGCCGTGCTCACCTATATGGTGAGGGACATCTGTAGCCGGAGTATGCGGACATTGGTAAAAAATAAAAATAAAAAGTATGATAACTAAGAAAACAGGACACTCCGAGGCCAGGAATGTAGGACTACCACTTGGTTTTATCCTCAACCCGGCAGTGACTTTTATACACCCGTTCATGAAACTCGGCGGTACCATAGTTGAGTCCGGACCTATATGCATCAAGGATTCACATACAAGAGAGGAAGTATCAATGGATAGTTACTGATGAGACTGAGTCGAGTGCCTGAGGAATAGTTTCTCTGAGGCCATCAAGAGAGTACTGACAATTTTCTCGGGCATAATATTTTCCTGAACACCAAAATTGCTCAATAAAGTTCAGCTCGCAGTGGAACTTAGGATAGAAAATCACTCACTGCCCTGAAGCCTCTAGCTCCTCTTGTAAATGGCCTTTCTGTTTCATAAAGTCTCTTTCTCATGATAAAAGAACTCTGCCACAACATCCACCTAGGATTGTCCGATCACATTCAGATCTGTTATTGAGGTAGGATACTTGAGAAGAAATGGAAAGCCATCAGGGCGATGTTTTTTCCACAGCCCACACTCTTTCAAGACTTGCTCTAACCCTTTTGCTTTGCTTCTAAGTTGAAAGGTTGGATGATTTTCTGGGTAAACCATGGACTGCGGGAACTGCTTGGCATGAATAAATCCATCATGCATCAAGGGTTGACTACCACCAGGGCCTCGATTCATCTTTGAGGTGAGGAGTGCATCTGGTGCAAAACAGCCATGATTAGAGGCTTTATCAAAGGCAAAAAGAGCCTGACTGCCAGGAAAGGCAATTCGAAAAATAGGTAAAGCAATTTGCATCATATGGTGCACCATTTTGTCCCCAGTCCAGTAGTTGTTCTTTCTATACTCTAAATACTCCATAGCATCACGTACAGGAATACCATCATGTTTAGGCCACATTGGATCCAAAGGTAGTTCTGTATTAGAGACAGTATCAGGTCCATTTAAATGGCCACCTGGGGTTAGAAACCGAGACACCATTATTCCCTTCCTGCGTAACTTTGCTCGCAGAGGTTGCTTGCCATCCTGTGTCCATATTTTCCGCTTTCCATTGTTGGCATTGAAGGTTGACTCATTGTATGTAATAAATACTAGGAGCTGCTTTCCTGCTGGTAAAGTTTTTAGAATACTCCAAGATCCATCCTCCTAGAACTTAACTATTTGGGGTACAACACTATCCTATAATGGTAAGAAAACTTCTCTTCTGTATCCAATTACATCTCTGTACTCATGCCCATCCACATAAACAGACTTCTGTACTGCCCCATAGGTAAAGCCCATTTTTTTCAACCACCGACGTACTATTTGAGCCTGTATCCTCTTTCATCTTACTTCTTCCCCCACCTGTCTTCCTACCATTTCAGTGCTACCTTCCCCCATTCTCCTCTGCCTATTACTAAACTCCTCCATTGTTGTTTTCAAAACTGCATCCATTACCTCCGCCACCTGCTGTGACTGAAGATAGTCACCAACTGCCTTTGCCAGACCATGTGCTGTAATATCTATTATATAAAGGTTAGCATACAGATTTATTATTATTATTAGTATAAGGTACTTATGTTCTCCAGTTCCTGATATCTATTCTCGGATGGCAAGTTCAACTCTCTCATCATTAAGCCATGATCATACCTTTACAAAGTATTCTCGCTTGCCCTCATCAATTAAGCACTCTCACACCTAGCTCAGCTCCCAAGTGACAAGTTTCCTAGCAAAATACCAGCCCTGGTTAAAGTACTGAGCTGTGAAAAAAGCTAACTGATTTCTTGTCTCTCCAGCTTGCTTCTTTTGTTGTATTGACAAAAATGCCAAAACAGCCTAATGCCTGACAAGATTTTGGCCATGAAGGCCTGATTTTGTAGAGTTGATTTTTTTTTTCAGTACCTGAATCGCAGATGTCTGATTTTGCTGGCTTGAATCATACTGAGAAATCTCTGGCAGGGGCTGCAGGGTAGCCTGGACCGAGGATGTGGAATTAAGTTGACTTTGGTGAATGAAGAAGGTAGTAAGTGGTACGCATCCACTAGCAGCATAGCGGAGTTCTCAATCCTGCTGACGCTTACGACATGCTTGACATTCACCCAAATATACTCCTTGACTATATCATATTTTTGCTCTATCAAATATGCTTGCCTCTACTCCTTTTAGTATCTCTAGCAGTCCTTTATCCTCCTTCCTCTCTTCTGCACCCCTTGTTGCATTAAAATCTGTATTCACCTCTTCCTCCCAATCAGTATACTCCTCTTCCTCTTTCTCCTCCTCTCCTGATTCATCGTCAAAATCAAGAAAGTGTACTTCTGCACGTTTTTCTTTCTCAGCCAATCTCTCTTGCTTATCAACTTCACTTTGTCCTATTGCATAAACTTCAAGATGCTTTTGTACAATTCTGAAATCTTCCTTGATCCTAGCCACTTTTTTTTTATTTCTTTGCTCTCTTGCATCCCGGAGGTGCTGATTTTGTCTCTGAATAGGTGGCATATTCTGAGGTTTTGCAAGCAGGAATTCGGTAGAGTTTTGTGATTAAGTGTGAATATCTTGAAGGATGTAAGTGAAAGTAAGGAGTACTACCTGATGCTCAAGCACTTGTTGCTGGGCCAAAGACTTTGTTATCTCTCATAAAGATTACTAACCAAACTGAGCAGTTATGAGATATCACTCAGTTGTTAGTTTTGTTGAAAAATATCCCGGACATTTGCCTCACTCTCCACAAAATTTGGTCTCCTTTATCTATTAATAACTTTACCAAATCAAATGCTATTTTAATTTTCTCTCTATTAGTTTGAAGCCCATAGGCTATTCTATCACCTAATAGAGTTATTTTTTCCAAAGAATTTGTTGTTGGCATGCCTTTAGGTTTTGACTTCACACTTTGGCTATCTCGTTCAGTGTTCCGGGTACAGATGTCCCTCACCATACCTCTGCGGTATTTTGCATTATAATAGGATTTTACTTGTTCTCCCTCAGAGTTACAACCTTTACAATGGACTCGAGTGTCGATTGAGAGGATACTAGTATTATTGTACTGAGCAGTAGATATGATTGTAAAGCTTATCTGATCTGTTGCACCATACTGCGAGTAGATTGCAGCCTTAGTGTAGCTATATCATTTGTTTGGCAAATATCTCTGTGTATGGTTCGTGCAGACCAAAACTTGAAGCAAGAATTTACCTTTTCCCTCTAATAATATTATAGAGGATATTTTAAGTTCCTCAAGTGGCTGAGTAGTTGTGTATAATTACTTGAAATTAAGCAGTTTTGGTAAGAAACTGAAAAAATATTACATACAGCCACAGATTAAGTGCTAAGATAGGGCACTACCTGGATTAGTAATTATATACTTCAGTCAAGTCTTCCAACAAATTTGTATAAAACACCTGATAAACCTAGTACATTGTAGGCCTTTACCAATAATAAACTTATAGTTTCTGTTAATACCAAGTTCGACTTCAGAAATAAGTAAAAGTCCATTAATGTGCTATCAATTAGAAGTATTTCTGGCAGTGGTAGGTAGTCTGTATATTATTTTAAAATTATAGATGCTAATACTCTGTAGAGAATTTTTAGATAACAAGACCAAAGAAAAATACAGTTTTATGTCGGCATGCCAGCAGCCTTAGTGGTCGGCTGCCTTTGGGTCAAGATACCAATAACCAACCTTAAAATCTAGATCCAGATAATACTACAGTAAGTGGTAATGAGCAAAATGCAGAACAAGCTCTTATTTTAAATAGTGGAGGTAAGTTAATCTATGAAAATAAAGTAATTTGATAGAAGAAAGTGGCTAACTATTAGGCGGAGACAACCTGATAGACTTCAGAATTGTCTAGGCCAATCAAAATTTATTTCTGTAGACGGAGATTGTCTAGGAAGGCTTGAGTTCACTCTTTTCATTTATGACTACTGAGAGCGAAGTAAATTTGGTAAAGTAAGATAGAATTGTAAAAACAATATTCTATTGTTAAGGTCTCTTCTCCGTTGCTTGATGATGTTTAAAGCTTTGGGAGATACTTCGATATTTATATTCCGCGTCTGAGTGTTCGTGGGCTACTTCTATTTATCATGCTACTATATACTATTCTGATTATACCTCGCAACATCGGGTATTCTTGAAAGGTGCGAACACCTGGAGACCCTGAAATTTACCACACACTCTTTGTTAATTATGATATAACTAACTCGGAATCATACTGTTTTCAATAGTAGTTATCTGATCTTTAGAGTCTTTAGACTTGTGGCCTAGTTCTTAAGTTAAACTGAGTTGGCTCCAATGGTCTTTGTTATTGATGAAATGATCAGCATCACCTGCGGGTTGTATCTGTGAAGGTAGTCATAATTGCAACCTTTCTTGGTCGTCTGACTTTAAACTTCTATAACTCCTTACCCAATAGATAAATGTCTTCTGGAAATCTTCCTACTAATTCACAGAAAGCTATTCTATCGGGTTGACAATTAATCCCTCAGTTGGCAACTCTTGGTTGCTTTTAGGTAATAGGATTTCAATCACTGTTATAGTCTGAGAAGTTGTCTTTGTAACTACAACATAT